GGCAGCGGCCGGGGCCCAGAGGCCGGGCAGCAGCGGGAGCAGGAGCAGCGCGAGCACCCAGGAGAGCCCGATCATGCAGCCCGTGTGCCTCCGCTGGTAGAGGGCCTGGTAGACGCTGGGCAGCTTGGTGATGAGCACGTACCTGTTGAAGGCCACCAGCAGGTGAGAGGCTAGGGAGACGGTGAGGCCAAGGCCGAGGAGCCCCCCTCGGAGCAGCCGGTACTCCACCGAGCGAAGGGAAGAGGAGTTGGGAGGCAGCAGCCCCAGCACGGCCTCCTGGGGCATCCACAGGGCGCAGATGCTCAGGTCGGCGGCGCAGCCGTTCACGATGAAGGCGTTGCTGGTCGTCTGCAGCTTCTTGAAGGAGAAGACCAAGTAGATGACCATCACATTGGATAAGGTCCCTGAGATAGCTAATGCCGCATAGAGCAGCGACAGGAAGATGCGGGTCCCGGAGGAGTCCTCCCAGAGCAGCAGCAGTGGCGAGCTAGCGCTCCAGGAAGAGGCGTTGGGCATCTCGCTGAATGCGGCTCAGTTTTGACTTCTCCCCATAAATCCCATCCTCACCTGGGTCAGAAGATCCTGCTGCAGAAGTGCCCCACCAAACACAAGGGAGAAGGTGCAATCAACAGCCTCTAAAGGCAGGCTTCAGGCAAACGAGCTGCTAGGTCCAGAAAATGCAGTTAGCAGCAAAGATCCAGCCAACAGCAGTGCCCAGCGCAGGTAGCTAGCAAGAGATCCCACAGACTGTAGCTTGTGTAAGTGGGTGCATAGGACGCAGAGAGCTGTTAGCAGACAGCAGCAGGATTGAGGATTTTGTAGCTGTGAAAATGCCAAAAGCAGCAGCACCTTGCAATCAGCAGCAGAAACGGCAGCAACTGATACAAAGCTTTGCAGTTTCTGTGCCACACCACGAACACTGTATATCATTCCAGGAAGATTCAGCCCTTCCACTCTTCATGAATTATTCAGCAGATTTTCAACTTGTTAAATAAAGAAGAAAAAAAACCCAAAACCCTACCATGCTCCAGAAATACTGCAACTATAGTCTGACTCTCTTCTCTTTGCCTTACCATTTTCTTGGTTCTAACACATTTACACAGCAACTTTCATTTATGCAAGCTTTCAAACTAATACCAATTTCCGTCACTTCTGTCTCAAACACAATCCATTTACTGTAGAAACTCCTCTCCTAGATATTCACTTAAGCTGTTTTTTAAATCTTATTTTTATTATTAGAAAGCGTTCTATGCTTCTATAAACTTTTTCAAAATTACTTTTAGAACTGGTCTATAATAACAACATGCTTTCCAAATTAAATTTCTCTCAGATATGATATACAGGTCCTTGGTAAGACAGTACTTATTTCAGGGAGCTGATAAGTCTTACGTGTTTTATGTTTCTTCGTAAATACATGAAGAAATGGGAATGGCAAATAAAATGAAAATTCATAGTTTATTTCCGTCCTGGAGCTATCACTCATTGGTTTTCACTGGAGACAACTCATGACGCTGGAGTCCTTACATGCATGAGTAACACTGTGGACCTCTGACTAGACTTTCAGGTGCAGGAATCGGACATAAAAACATGTCAGAAGTTCCACACGCGCTGTCACAAACAGCGTGTGTTCCCTAAAGCCTTTTGCCAGATCCAGCAGGTGGTTAGCAGGAACAGCATGAGAATGAGAAAAGATGCCTGGAGCTTTTTAATGTGGCAGATAGAGTTAAGCGAACACCTGTGGGCAAAGGGGCTAATCTGTGCATGCCAAAAAGGAAACAAAACCAACGAACAAACAAAACTGTCCATAAAGGACAAACTATGTTTAGAAGCCATCTTCTGAGAAATCCCAAGGCTCCGAATGGCAAAGCCCGTTCAAACTCCCTTAAAATACCTTCTTTTCTCAGGCAAGAGCCTGAGTTACTTGTCACTTCAGAAATACACTTCGGTTTCCCTTTTGATGCTCAGAAGGTTCTGCCGCCCCCACCCTGCAGCACAGCAATGAGCGCAGTTTAAAGTGACAAGCCTAAACAGCGCAGCTTCTCCTTTTGCCAATCTAATCTCACCAAGGCTGTTTACATAAAGCAATACTGAAATGGTTTAATTCATTAAATGCACTTACAGTAGAGCTCAGGTAAAATAATCTGTAACAATAATTAAACCTGCAAATCACTCAGATTAAAACCCAAAACACTGAAGGATCAAAAAGATCACCCTCATCTTGCTTCTCCCTTTGTCTTTTTCTCTCCAAATTGCCAACCTGACTGTTCTGAGAGAAGATTTCTCTGTATTGTAATTATATTAAAAAAAAAATCCCCTTCCCATATTCCCAGTGTATGACTCACTCGGGTTTCAGCACAAATAAAACATTTATTGAATATGGGAATCCCCTCCTAGCCCTAGGAGCCTCCTACTCAGCCAGAGCTTTCTTTTACTAGTGACTTATGATCCTAAATCAATGCACAAATACAATAGGATTTATAAGTAGGTGCACTGTCTCCTAGCCTTTCCATGCGACGAGAACAAACATAAGTCTAGATGAACTTTGAATCACAAAAGAAAGGAGTTTGTCAGAAGAAGTCAGGTCTTTTATCTGTTAGGTCTGCCATCTTGATGCACTTAACAGGTCAAACTGTTTACATTTCTAAACATCTGAGATGCGCAGAACCTGCACTTCCACAGCTTATGAGAGCACTCTTCATTGAATCCTTACATACAAGGTCAGGCAGACTCTTATCACATTGGTACAAAAAGAGCTGAGGCTGGCTGTATAATGCATGTGAGAATTTGAGTCTAGGAAATTCAGCTATAGGGAGAGTCACATTGCTACTTCGTAATCACCTGGATAGGTGATCTGGAAGGAGCAGTCTCCTGAAGAGGAAGGGCCTACTTTTCCTCCCACTGAGGCACAGAGGCTGGACAACATAAACCACTTTCAAAGACCTGACATACCCCTTCACTTAAATTCAGTTGCCATCTGATATCCAACTACCTCTTCTGAGGTATGCCTGCAATGAAAAAACCCAAAGAGGTTAGTTCATCTACATTGAGCAGGTATCATATACCCAGGACAATTTGGGTTTAGGTCAGAATATAAAACTAAAACCTCTTCATTGCTGAGGACAGCTTATCTGCTGTCACCAGATGAAGAAACAGTCTTCCTTCTGGAGCTTTCTACAGTACTCAGTCTTGTTGATCTACTGTCCCACCTGAAAGATGGGATAAACGAATGGATGTGTATGTTAAAGTTACTTCAGACCTTCAGAGATGCATCCAGTGAATAATCATCGGAAAGTCCATCTGCACTACCACGCTCCCATGCAGTGCTCTCCAACAGCTAAATCGCAGTAAAAGAGCACACATATTAAAATCTCAATATTGGTAACTTCTGTACCATTAACAAAGGTGCAACCTTGAAGAATGTGCTGCGTTGCCTAGCAGCCAAAAGGCATTGCCTTCTTAGACACATATATGATGAAGATTTGAGGTTAATGAGTTGGGAAAAACATGCATAACACATCTGAAGAGAATTCTATAAAGATTGAACTCGTTTTCCAGTAAGTCTATTTTCTGTTTAATAGCAGCTATGGCACCATTTCACTACAGCAATTAAATAAACTATGTATGAAAAACTAAAGCTCTCTGAACACATTAAATGAGTAGGCATGAGGCTACAAGGAGCCACTAGAAACTGTAAACATTAGAAAACAATTCACTACAATGCTATTGCCAGTGACTGGAGTTCAAGATTTTCTGCCTCATGGGTAGAAGGGTTATATTAGGTTGTGTTTGTTTAAATTTGTTAGTTTAAACAAGTAATATCCAAATTAAAATACATTATTAACAGAATGAGAGCAGTTCCTAAAACAAGCTTTTTTTTTTTTTTTTAAATGGAAGAAAAAAAAAAGAGGCTCTTTCTTCCTGGATAAGAGAAAGAAGTTACTTTACCTGGATCAGCACTGCAGTTTGAGAAACATTTTCCCCAGAATATATTGCTGCACAAGGGCAAGTATGAAATAACTAAAATGGGAAAGGACTGTAGGAGACCATTTACTCCTTACCTGATTCTGACTGGCGAGACATACTCAGGAGTAAGTTATTCATCTATTCATGATTAGGTGGGGCATATCTCATTCAAATAGCTGCTTATGTGTTTGTAGATTCTGTAAGTCAATGAAAGTCATCATCATCAATGAAAGTCAAACATTTCAAAAAGGATATGCCTACTCAGTGCAAACCATCTCTTCATGTAGATGGTAGGCTGTTTGTCACAAAATACATTAACTTGCTCTGTGTGGAAAGGATAACAAAGGACAATCACAACATGCCTGAAAGATTCTTACTTAAACAGAGACACCTTGGCTTGTGCAACACAAAGTTACTGTCTGTCACTAGCTGCCGAGATGGCAGAGCTGCTCATTAACAACCTCAAGTTTACTTCTGTTGGGAAAGAGTCAGCATGGCTTCTGTAACAGGAAATCCTGCACTGCTGTCCTGCTGGAGTTGAATATGGGTCTCAATAAGTACACAGATAAGAGGAAATCAGTGAAGCCTTTCTAACAGTCCCACACCAAAATTTATTCAGAAATTAAGTTCCCATAGGGCTGAATGAAAGGTTATATACTTAAAGCTGATTGAGGGAGGGGAGGGAAGAGAGAAGGGGAAAAAAAAAAAAAAAGAGGACTTAACAGTTACTTTCAAATGGAGAAGAGTTGGGTCCCCCAGATACTCTACAGTGCTTTATTGAAATAGGGACAGGGTTAGTTGTCCGTACTCTGGACAAGATTTAATAAGAAATTGAGTAAAAACACTTGTTTCTATCAGAAGCATTCCAGAAAAGGAACTCTGATCAATTAGTTTTGCAGAGAAGTTAAAGAGAGAAACTGCTTTTATATGGGGATTACATATGGGCTACAAAAGTAATCAATCTCGGCTAATAAGGAATAACCTGTGTATTGACCAGAGACATATTTAGACATGAGGTATTTTTAGATAACAGTTAATTTTACGATACTAACACATGAAAACACCAATATGTTAAGAAGTAATTACAATATAAATTCATTAAGGTAATGAAATTCATTTGTGTCATTGGATTATTTTGTTGCAGAACAGCACATCTTATTTGACAGAAAGGCTCATGTTTGTAATTGACAGGACAATCAATCCAAATATGAGTTACAGTCATGATTATCTATGGTCTTTTTAATTAATTAGATTGGCCTATGCTTCAGGTTAAGGATATTCTTAAGTGACTTACTTGACAAGGCCTTTAATTACCGTATTTCTTTCCTGCTGCACTTCATAGTGTAAAGCTCATCAAGTGTCAACCTTTTGAGGCCTCTCATTGTTTAGTTGTCAGTAGAGACCATTATTACAAGAAACTAAAATCTTCCTCTTTCTGCAGAATTGCAATTCAAAAAAATATTCTCTAAAATCGTAATATCTGACTGAAAAGCTTCGTCTCATTAAATACTTTAATGAGATGATTAAGAGTTTCATAAGTCATTAGCCATAGAATTGCAGGCCTAGGGACCTCTACATTTATCTAGTCCATCCTTTCAAGTTTATCAAACTGCTTTGTAAAAACCGCCCGTGCTACAGCTTGTTCTCACATAACAAGGGAAAATATATTCATGAAGCAACAAAAAGGTAAAGTTCAAGGATGAGTGACCGGAGAATATAAAACAAAATTCATGGCATTTCTTTGAGTGAGAAGATTCTAAAGACACTAGTACCTTCCTAAGCTTTGACCATCCACAAACTCTTTCCATGATGGTACTAACTATATTTATCGTGCATTTTTTAAAAATCCAAAAAAATCCATTACGCATTAGCTGGCACTTACTACATTTTTATCATAGTGAATCAATATAAGCAAGTCTAAAAGAAGAGGGGAACAGGGAATAAAAGGGTTGCTTTCAACATTAACTAGAGATATTTTTAAGCTGTTTTTGCTCTATGTTTATACCCATCCAAATCAGTATCCATTAACTGAACAAGCCTTTTACTGTGCTATTGGAATAGACTGACACTGGAATTTAGGTCATTTCAGCAACTTCTGTTCTAGTCCTCGTTTTGCCGTTCCTTTAGAGTGGCTATGCAACAGTTACGTACACCATCCAACATCATTATGAAAGAAAAATATTGCAGTCCAGGCTTATCTGACAGAAATATTAAGTACTGTAGAAAAATAATCATGCAACACAACAAATTTGCTGAAAATGCAGCAGAGCGAAACCACATTAGAACCATTTGTCATTAGTTTTTAAATCAAATGAATTCTTCATGTAAGAAAGGATAAAAAGCCAAATGAAAACATGATCTTTCAGATCATCATGGACAAAGACCCTGCTGCTAGCGAGACTAAATAAAACTGTTGCACGTGCTCAAGAGACACTCGAGGGTCCCTGTCCAAGAAAATTTAGATACAGATTTTAAATTATGGTATCTGGAAACGTAACTTTTACATTATAATATTGCCACTTTGATTAAATACGCCAGACTTCATGCTATACAAAGCAAATTTGAGACTCTTAGCTAAAAAGATCAGTTATAAGAGATATCAAACTATTTTCTGCAACCTTTCATCTTATTCATAAGCACTTTATAAGCTTTAGCAGAAATAAGGTGTTTGAAAGAACTGCTTTTGTTTGATGTAAATTAATATGATTAGATTTCAAACATCAACATAAGATATGAGTAAGAACGGCCAAGAAACAAGATAGGAATCTGGCTGATATATGCATTTTATTATCAATTAGTCATATATATATATGTATCTACATTTCAAAATAAAACAATACTTTATCAAGGAAAGCTATTTATAACAAAATACATGACAAAATTCTTTGTAGGAGGTAGAATTACCTTACCATTAAACTATAATTCATATACAGTATATTGTATATATATGCACACACATATGCTACTTAGTGTGTGTATATGTTGCATATACACAGTTGTGATAAAGTACAGTATTGCATGTAAATTTTATTCAGTGATTTATATAGCTGCTCTCAGTATTGCTTATTACCACTTTCAGTGCAATTTTCCACGGCAATTTTGACCTGAACTTTTCCAAAAACAAAGCGCCATTTTATCTTAACTTCAGTTGCAGAGCAAATACAGGTCATTCACAGGTCTTCAGGAACAAAGACTGACAATTCAACCAAATTTTATTTTCAGGTTTCTGTAAAAACATTGGCAGAACTTATAGGCAACAATTCTGTTTTGTTTTTGCCTTCTGAATTAGAGTGACAAATCAAGTTACCACAGCTGTTTAGAAAATTTTGCTGACTATGCACTTGCAGAGTTCTGAAAGATTAGCAGGTGATCTCTAGTTCTTCACTACAACACTTTCTTTCAGAGTTTCATCCCTAATTGAGCCCAATTAAACTATGCATTCAAGACCATCTTTACTACTGACAAAACTGTTCTGTGATACAGATTAATCATGATTAGCTAGATAGTTAATATTATTCCAATTAAGAAACAGGCTTCTGAAGTGTCCAGCTGAAAAGTGAAAGTGTTTAATATACTTCTACATTAACTTCTCATATGCTTTGCTAATGAAACTGAACATATCCTGCCAAACGTAGCTTAGAAATGTGTAAGTATGCAACTCTGCCAAATTCACTCTATATACACATTCTTATCAAGCTTAAATTTCATCTTCCTTTATTGGTGCTGTATATATTGCACAGCAAAATTTTACATTGTACATTGAAAAGTTAAAACATTCCTTTAAGACAAATTAAGGGAAGCGTTAATTGTATCAAAGAACCATCAGCTAAATTACTTTCTCTTTACAATGGAAGATGTAAATTGCATTATATCTCAAACATTTTCCCTTTGTTTTCCTTCTGAGATATCAGCAGCTGAAAGTAGAAAGCAGACTACGTCTCAAGTGCTTTCAGTTGATCATATAGTAATTAGTGTCTCACTAGTTAGACTTCCATTAAGTTATCACAAGACCAACTAGTGAAAAAGTAATTACATTAGGCTTTAAGCAACAATGAATGACCCATAAAACAAAAAAACCTTCTTGCTCATAAAAACAACTTTTCATATCTTCTAGATAAATACCTAAAATATCATTGAAATACACATTTTGGTAGCAAAGAATTGAGGAACGCTAAAATATATTCTAATTTTTACATAATTTTTATACATGTATTGCTTATCAAAATAGTCCCTTAATACATATTTTAACACTGTACATGAGTTATAAATGTATTAAACTCATTAAAAATATCCTCAAGCTGTCTCAGCATTAAAGTTTTAAATCTGTGTATAACATGGGGTAGTAATCGCCATAAATTCAACTTTAGTGCATCTGTAGTAGTCATTAACCAGAAATTTCTGGCTGTTAGGAAGTCTCGTCTTGGTGTTGAAGATTTTAACATATCTTGGAGTGAAGACTCTTCCTCTGAATGAGCAGTTTCTTTCCTTTAGTTCTTCACAATGGACTTATATTTTTAAGAGCCCAGCAGGTTTCACCGAAGCAGCAAGGCTTTAGTACTGAACATATTCAGACTGAAGGGACTGTGCAGAGGAGAAACAGAAACTGATTAAAACCCCCTCAGGTGGTCATACTTGGATAGAATACATGTTTTACACTCAAAAATAAGGAGCAGAGGAAGAACAGGAAGTAGAAAAATAAGAGCGTTGGGTGGCAAGGGGAGAAATTTGATAATCTGTGTGCATATGTAAAACGCAATAAAATACAAGTAACCCAAAAACGGGATACATTAAAGTCCCTCAGCTTTTCTGTATCTACACTTACTTTTCCAAATGAAATTCTATAGATTCTTGATGAAAGTTTTACAGATCCTTTAAAACAACACAGATAATACCACAGCCTTAACACAATGTGTTGGGAAAACATATGACTGCAATTATCGTAATTGAATTGCTTTCATTTATCCTGAACAGTAAGAATGAAAGTGCTAGTATAAAAATACAGCATACTTTACATGTTGATTCAGATGATGACACAGGAAACATGTATGGTATAAGAGCTAAAGTATTGAGGGAAAAATGACAGCACAATTAGGCACATGAATAAATGTAGGGATAGTTACTAAAAATAAGAGAAAAGAGACAGAAGTGAAACTGTTACTCTAAATGGTTAATTTAGGTTAGCAAAGAAAGTAAGCGTAGTTAGGAGTAAGGCATAACATGTTCTGTATTCATATGCATTTCCAATTCTACTGCAGTCTGTTTTGTAATAAAAAAAATTTGTCAGTTTAAAAAGGCAGCATCCAGCCATCTTATTTCCTCCTACACAGATGTGTTCAGTGACAGCTTTTATGTCAGCAGTTTTGTAGTTAATGAGGATTCATAAATGTTTACAAATTTTAAATGATGTCATTTTAATGACTAAGAGCAGTCTTATCTGAAAGCTCTTTGTACAAGAATGGTTTTAAAAACAAATAGCAAACAACTATAACAGCATCAAACTATATTAAAAAAAATAACATCAATTCAGTAGGATTAGAGAGAACTACCGGAGAACAACATGAAATCTAAGGTAGCTCAAAACTGTGAACTCCTCTCTTCCATTCTCCTGCTATTCCTAACTTGTCCATATAGAAATGCTCTATGGCATCCATTACCAAACCAAGAGCAGTGCACAGTAAATGGATAAGCCTTTAGACCCTCTAACTAGTATCATAAAAAATATTTTTTTCCTAAACTCTGAGGCATATACCGAGATACAATTCTCGGGATGTCTTTAAACACTTTTTCACAACTTGAAGGTCTGAGAACATCTGAATATTTTTTTCTAGGTTAAGAAAGAAGTGCTGTCAGAATATAAAGAATTGAGTACTATTCTCTACAGTAGTCTTTAGTACTGAATGGATTCAACATGAAGGCAGTCATTTAATATAAAATGATTTACTGTAAAACTAAACAGACGCAATTAATTACTATTTTTGTTTCATTATAGGTTCAGAATCACCATTGAATAGGCAGTCACATAAGGTTATTTACCTCCACTCTGTTCTCTAATCATTCTGGATTATTAGCTTTGTTGAGAGCACTTGTCAAGCTGTTTCTTACAAGTGTTAAGAGGGAGCCAGAAGCAATATCCCTTCATTAATTCATTAATGAGCACCTGAAATTTCTGCTCTCTTAAATGCCCCTCAAGGCTTTCTCATTTTCAGAGGTGTATTTTAACAATTATAATGATTGTTCTACTAGCTAAAACAGTCTTTGAAATGGATCATTGAAAACTGAGTTCCAAGTAAAGTTGATTAACCAACAAAAGAATGCATGAAATTCATTATATACTCTCATATGATTTACTATGTTAGATTACTTTTCAAGCCTGGACAGATGAACGATGATCTGAAAGCACTGTACACTTTTGGTGATCTGAGATTCAGGTGGCATTAGCTGGCAATGAGCTATAAACAGCAACAGTCACCAGGGATTCTACCTCAATTTAAATATTGTTACATTCTGGAATTTAAATGGAAATTAATGAAATTATTAGAAATTCCTAAGTCTTCTCACAGGACGATGTAAACAAATATGGAAGAAAAATTAATGGCAACATATAAAAAGAACAACTATCCAAGCAGCACAGATTGGTTGAAAACACCAGATAGCTTGTTTTGTTAACTTGTTACAGATGGGTAGGCTTTTTTTTTTTTTTAAACATACGTTTTTCAATACTTCCACCCTAACCCTAGCCTCCTGATGTTTCAAAGCCTTTTCTGAATGCAGAAAAGGGCCAAATTAAATCTAAGCAGCATTTTCTCCAGATTAAACTTAATTGCTATAATTTCCCATAAACTTCTTATTCCTAAAAATGTGATGGCAGCTATAGCAACTGAATTGTTGCAAAGGGTATGGACTAATTTTTAAGTGGGAAGAGTTAAAGCTGGGGTGGGTTTTTCTGGCTTCTGTATTTAAACAGTTTGTGCTCTTACGTCTTTCCACATCGTCCCAAGAGACCGACTGTAATCTTTCAAACCCAGTAACTGTTTTATCTCAGAGAGTTTTTCCTACTTTTCAAATTTACATTCTTAACTCCTATTTGTGGAGACTCAAAGTATGGCTTGCCATTCTGAACGCTTTATTAAAAACAAACCAAAACCCAAAAACCACCTCCATAGTCGCATGCTAATATTTAACAAAACCTTATTTTAAATATAGGGAAAAAATAAAAGAAATATAAAACAAAACTGACTGCTGAATTACCATAATAAGAGAATAAAAACAGTTAATTAAGGGAAAGCTCAATTTGTAATCCTACAGTGACTACATGGAACATCAAGTGTGGCATCTTATATCCAAATATTAGACATTTAAGCAAACAGCTAAAAACTGGACAGTTTTGCTACAATCAATAACAACTTTCTAATCAAGTTCATGCTGAAGCAATTGGATAGATCAGCATCCTTCTTCTCCTTGTAGGGTAGGAGGCACCGAAAGACTCCTAGAAGAGAAACTAAGGCACAGATCCATCAAAGTGCTAAAACTGAATTCACGTGCATTAACTTCAGGACCAACTCAGCTACAAGTTAACTTTTAAGAGGCACAACTCTACAGGATTTAGTTTTATCTGTTAGGACCTGAACATGCACTTTTTCTAGACAATAGCAAAATTCTAATGGTATGTCATGATTTTTAGACTCAAACTCTCATCTTCACTTGTAAGTAATTTAAATTTTTTGACTGTGCATCAACTCTCCCAAAAACATATGTTGCAACAAGAATGTTGCAGCAGGCAAGAATTACTCTGAATACATAAACAGCCACTAAAATAAATTAGGATTTTAAAATAATGTGGCTATAGTTTAACAAAACTGTTGACTGATTCTGACAACTGATATGTACAAATGCATAATGGAGGAAATGCATATTGGCTATTTATTTGAAATTATTTATAGACATGTACATTACACACACACTTGAAGCTATCCTTTGAGTCTGCTAGATTGGTATATCAGTAAAAGACACTAGTTTGTCTTTCTTTTCTTGCAAAGGCAGTGCTGTAGTCACTAATGTTAAGTTTTATTAAGAAAAATTATCCTAGAGGTATAAATATCGGGTACATGAGTTTAAAAATTACTGTTATACTACTTTTTTGAAATTTTTCCATCTTGTCAGTTTTTATGACATCTACAGAAGCAAAAAATGACTCATCTTAAAACTATGTAGATACATACTTTTCAGTAAAAATATTTTTAAAAATAAGTGATGTTTAGATTTATTACTACTGCAAAAGTAAAATAAAAACTGTTGTAGTACCTTAAACGTTTTTATATTTGATAAGGTATTTCCGCAAATTAGAGCTAGGAAAATCTGTTTGATGAAAATACCTAGTTTCTCAGATTTTCAAATAAAATACTTATTGGCTAGAACAGCAAGTTGTTCATATAAACCAAGCTTTCTACCTGGTTCATCATCATACAACAGCATAAAGACACATGACAGAGTAGTAAATGGATTAACTTCTAAACTTACACTGATGAAGGAAAAAAAGCCATTAGGGAAAATATATGGCTGACAAAACTAAAGACGACAACGACGACATATGGTCATAGTTATTTTCATTTGTTTTAATTAGAATGTGGAACATGGTATTGCTAAATGGATGGTAACATCTTCTGATACAGAACACAAAAACAAAAAACCAAAAGCCACACACAGTACAAAGCAACTATTTCTCTTCCATACTGGAAAAAAGAATGATGTATTCGCATCATAAAAATAAAGTTCCCAATTTCCTCACTGATGAGATTAAAGAATGTTCATTAGAGATGAACAGTTAGAATCCTACCGATCTTAAAAAGCTCCTGCTCCCCTGGTGTTAACTATTAACAAACTTCAGAAGAGTATAAGAGTGATAAGCTTTTTGATTTTTTTTTTTTTTTTAAATAGAGTATCTGTACATTTACAGATGGCTAGCTCCACATCTAACACTGGTAAATGAAATTCTACTAATAAAAGGAACAGGAACGTAATTCCTATCATTTAAGAGTTCTTTGAGACAGGATAAGTTAATAAATATAACCACAGGTAAATGTGACAGACTTCTACCAGTCACATTATCTGATGTGCTCCAACTGGAAAAGAGTGCAATGCAATACGCAATATAAACACTTACTGCATAAGATTAAGGTTTGGCTGACAAAGCTTCACATAATTTCCACATCTCAAGCAGTGAGGTGGAAATCATTAAGAGGAGTTCTGCTTTTAACAGAATTATACCAGAACTGGTACCAAGCCTTGATGCTACTCTGCATTTTGCTCATGAGTTTAAGACCACTGCTAAAAATCATCACAAACAAAATATTTGTATGACAGCAGTGGAAGTGGTAAGACAAAACAATCTTCCTTGGCAGGTAAATTGATTCCATTAAAAAGGAAGTTTTAATATAGCCAAATGCAAGTTCCACATAGAAGAACAAAGAATGTAGGCCATTAAACTAAAATATGAGAGTCAGTATCGTGGAGAGCAAGAACTCTGTTCCTCCCTCCCCCAGCCCCCCAAATGAACTTACAGTGCATTACTCTTAAAAGGCTAA